GGATTATAGCCGAAGGGCATTAACTACTTCTTCGGCTCTTTGTACTCTACCGACTCTCGTGAAAAGTGGACGGATGCCACGCTTCACTTTACGAACATAGTTGACATGTCCATACAGCAGTTTGTTGCTTGCCAAGAAATTTTGACTAAGTATTGTTGATACCTTACTTTGTCCTCACGAACAAGTGCAGTGCAATGGTTGCGATGAGTCAGGAAATTGCCCCAAGTCTCTGAGTCGGGGTTAAGCTTGTAGGCATGCCATTTTGCATCCCTTATCGCCAGGCATTTGCGAGTCCTACTCCTTAGAATTGAAGGCAATTTTGCGGGACGAAGAGGCTTGGTATCTGATACTTTGTTGATGTCCCTGAGTCTAGCAACGAACTCTGTCCAAACGTTGTCAAGGGGACTGTTGTTTGAGAATCCCCAAGCAGCTGCGTCGGGGAGTTCTTTTAATACGTGGTAGCGTGTGGTTGTATGTGTTAGTTCCCAGTGTTCAAATGGATACTTTGCATAACGCACATAGGTGAACGTTATTACTACATGGTCTCGGAGACCTAATGAACTGTCCATCAATAACTTGTCAACCATGAGCTCTTCATTCGTGTGCATAAGACCCACTTTGGACGGTTTGTTTGTTGTCCTGAATCTAGTGGGCGTGGTTACAGGTTTGTACAAGGGAATATTAGCAATCATTTCATGCAACTCTTCTTTGAACTGCGCACTGGGTGATGCCGATACCTCCAAACCATGTGAATAGAAATTCCTGGAGATGAGAATGGGGCTGTACCTAGTGCGTGTTATCCTGTTCAGACCACGTATCAGGCGGGAATCCATTTCCGGAGTGGACGTTTGGGGGGGTGATAAACAACAGCTACGGGACATGCGTCGTCGTTTCTTAGTCGGAGATTGCAACAGAGTGAGTCGGTAACGTGTGTTTCCAGATCATCAAATACCGCACATTGCAAGTTGCTGTGATAGTAGAGTAGGACCCCACCTCCTCTGCTGGCGCAGTCATTCCGGATGAGTAACATTCCGGCTATCTCAACCTCAGCATCAGTCGCCTCTTGGTGCAACCAAGTTTCGATAATAGAAATTAGGTTCCAAGCATTTGCAACATGACGTAGTCGAAGTTCGATAAGCTTACTGTGGAGACTTTGAGCGTTAGGGTACATACATGAAAGTTTCTCAGATTTAAGCAATGTTTCCGTGGTTGTGCAGTTCGTACGTGAAATTTCGCAGACCAGTGATTGGCCAGTAAGTAATCGTTTTTTTGTTTTGTACTGGGAGAAAGGTTTAAAGTCTTATTCATCATCCGCGTAGTTAGTCCGGTGACTAGTCTTCTGGGTACAGTGTAAGATGTCTGGTCAATATCGTCTTCTACAGGTTGTATGGGCTCATTCGACACACTACTGGTGCATGGTTCTTTTATAGATCCCATCGCGTTTGGTTCTATGTGTGACATATCATCACTAGAAGGCATATCGCTGACTGTCTTCAGCAGAAGCTCAGATGCTAGACTGCCACGGAACATGTACCAGCTTTTTAGCAGCCGTGCCATCATTTGCTTTTTATTCGGCACAGCTTAATTCTGCTCCGTACATGGTGAGTGGATATACATGCTACGTTTCTGAACCAGTTTAACGTAGTAGGCCCATTTCCTTATCTGAGGAATCATGTTAGCTATCTCCCTCCACTTCATCGCGGTAGATACGATAGTGCTACCGGACATGGGCTGTTCCCATGCTGACCAAAACGTTTAGAACCCCGCACTGTGTATACGTGTCCGTTATATTTAAAACTCCGCTTACATATCCGAAAAGTTGAAATTAAAATAAAATTTTTATATTTCTTGAACTACGGAGAAAACTTGCCCAAAGAGACGGATCGCATTTCGTTGTACAACGATTAGGGTTTGTGCATGGATACAATGGAGTACTTCTAAAACTTCCTTCTTCAGAGCGTTTACTGTCATTTTCCACCAATTCACTGTCCCTCATGTTTGTTTCATTACGATGCATATCCATTATCAGGACACTGGTGGGCCCATGATAGGAGCACAAGCGATTGGGTACGTCAACCAAAGTCTGATGAGGGAAACACCATCTTGTACGAAGACTGCAATAGCAGCCATAAGGCGAATTATAAGGCAAGTCATCTATGAGCAACGAAAACCCTATTGTCATGGGGCTCACCAAAAATCAAAAAGGAAGGCTGAACCGCAATCACAGCGTTATTCACTGCCAAAACGACGTGTTACCTATTTGACAAAATTCGCCTCCTTCAAATGATTCTGAACCGGTCTCTACTTATTGCGCTACTTCGGATGGAAAGCCTAACAAACTCATCGGTCGAACTGATTGAGTTTGCGACTGTATGAAATGATACTCGCTCGTCCATGTAAGGGCTCTTTCTAAGATAGCGGTTTTCAGTCGATCACCAACAACCCCTTAAATTGTTGTTCTGCTGCATTTAGCCAAGAAGAATTGCCACCACCGTACTTACAATTGTTGCCATGGGATGCAGACGAGGACTTCAGGAGAAGACTTGGGTTTAGTTATCCACAGCGATCCCAATGTACCTTCTAGATTTTAATCACAATATTACCTGACACCACCCTATTATTTGTTTTTCGGCTTAGGGCACATCCCCCTTAAGAGCTAGCAAATATCAGCAACCAGAACTTATGATGGCAAGTATAACGCACAGATTACACACACACACACACTATACACGTTAGCTAGAGGTGGGAAACACCTCAGCTACTGTGTCGTAATACCTAAAAGAAAAAGGGAATTAAATACAACTGGTGCAATACAGCTGAGCGACCGGTAACGGATGGGCATCGTTCCCGTAAGCTAAATGCCGGCTACTATGCAGCACAAAATAATATAATTTACTATGCAAAATTATAAAGTGCTAAATAATGAAATCGTGGTTGGAGGGGGAGGCTAAGAGAGATGGGGTGGGACAAAGAAACTCACAGCACGAACGCCACTGAGGTCGGCTCCTAGAAATATCAACAAGTGTATCCAGCCAGACGTGTTCATCGTCTTTCGGAACGCAACCAGGGAGCCGAGACGCTCCAATCGAGGCCAGCTTCGAAGTGAGGTCCTTCATTCCTCTCAACCTAGTCATCACTTGACCACCTCACCTCTTCTTCCATCCACACCCACGGCGCGCAAACAATGCACGTCGCTGGAGTCGGTGAGTTGGCATGCGTAACACGCGGCCGAGCCATCGGAGCATGGTGCGTGAAATAACGGTGCTGAGCGGTTCATTTCTTCTTCCTGTGCCGTAAACAAAGCGTCGAACACGCTCGTTGCTCATGCAGCGTTCCCACCAGATACGAGCTAAATTGCGAAGGCACCGGTGGTCGAACGTAACTAGCCCCTTCATGTCCGCTGATATAATGGGCCAGGTTTCACAACCGTACGGTAGGGTCGAACGTACCGCTGCAGTGTACACTCGATCCTTCAAGGCGAGTATGATGTTGCGCCGCGGTGGTGAAGGTTAGCAAATGCGCCTCGAGATTTTGCTAAAATGTTCGTGATTTCATCTTCAATCCCACGGGCGCAGATACAACTTCCCAGGTAGCTGCATTTTTAAACGACTTCTAGATGATCCCCACTAAGGGTCAGCGTAGGATGCAGTCCAGGCCAAGCTTGGAGGAACGCTTGGCAGTTCGATGGGGCAGAGCAAATCCCGAAGCGGCTGACAGCCAGTGCTAACTGTCCAGTGCCGCTTGCCACCTCTGTGAGCTGTCGCAGATTACGGCAATGTCGTCAGCAGACTCCAACTCAAAAATCGTTCTCCTGGGAGCAGATCCACGCCTTCTAAGTCGTGTCTTGTGAACGCGGTTTTCATGCCTCCGTCAATAGCGCAGTTTAAGAGAAAAGGTGACAGCGGGTATCATGGTCTCACACCGCTGGAGAGATTAAAGGACGGCGACAGCTTGCCGTACACCCTCACTGTTCTGAGCTACGCGCGTATAATGCTCGGATAATAGTTACATATTTCTCATGTATAATTTTCCTGGATAGACAGTCCCAACGCGCACGTTTATTCACAGAATCGAATGCACCTTGATAGCGAGGAACACGACAACGGTGGGCCGCCAATATATGTAACGGTGCTCCAACAACTGACGCGAAGTGAAGATGTGGTCAATGCAGCCACGACCTCGACAAAACCCGGCTTGCTCTTCACGAATATGGCTTTCAAAAGTGGCAGTCAGTCTGTGAATGATGACAGAGGCAAGCAATTTGGAGGCGATGAAAATCAGTCTGATTCCTCTATGATTGCCGCATTCCGATCGTAAGCGTCCCTTGAAAATTAGGACAATTACCGTCGCAACGAGACTCCGTCGCAACGAGACTGGACCTTAACGTGGTGCGACGGTTTGCGTACCTCATTGACCCATTGAGCTATACTGGGTGGTGCCTCCGGGCACCTTGAGAGCTACTCCTACAAGGTTGGTCAGCGGTGAGAGGTCAGAAGAACTCAGTCTCTTGATCCTCCAGGTTGGGGGTTTGAAGTGGGATGGCGTCCATTTCTATACAACTAAATCATTGCCACCTCCCCGCTGCCTTGCAGACAAGCTTTTGATCCAAGGCTTTGGATGAGGACCTTAATCGTCCTACTTTCTAGGTCTGGGCGCCCTGGCAGTATCTCAGCCCACATACAACCATGACATTTTCTTCAAACATAAACTTCATCCTGCATCGGCCGTCGCGCAGATTATCAAGGGTCGCGTTATCTGATGCATACAACAGGGCGGATAATCGAAAACATGCTAATTCCGGTGCCTCCCCTCTTTCTTTTCCACCTTTTTCTCTTACTCCCATTCCGACCCTCATTACTAACCTTCCTTCTATAATTCCCAGCTTAATTGACAGCAAGCGAAATGCCACTGGAGTAGAACCATCTGCAGCCACCATCCCACCGCAATAATCGGACGCCTATAAGCAAAAGTCCCTAACAAAGCCACGCTATCCCGTTTCCATGGCGACGTTCAACGTTCGCACTCTAAGACAAACAGGTCAACTGGCTACACTCGCACGCACCTTAGACACACTGGGTATTGATGTTTGTTGCTTGTTCGAAACTAGGATCAATGAACCTAATGGAGTTGTTGAATTAACTACACCCAGCTTATCCTCTCGTTATTGGTTGTACGCATCCGGAGACGCCGATGCAACACTCATGGGTCAAGCTAGTGTTGGTATCATTCTAAGCTCCAAGGCTGAACCACCGTTGGTTGATTGGATTCCAGTGAACAGCCGTTTCTGTGCAGTCCGTTTGACGACATCAGCTAAGGTTGATTCACGAAGTAGTACAAAACGCTGTTTGTTTATGGTTTCCGCTTATGCTCCCACCGCCTGCAGTTCAGATGTTCTCAAGGACACTTTCTATCACCAACTGAACGCGCTACTACGCAGAGATACTAGTTCAGATATTATAATACGTGCAGGGGATATGAACGTACAAGTAGGGCGTCTGAGCTCTTCAGAAGCTCAGCTTGGTGGTAATTATGGGCTTAATTCCGAACGGACTGACATCGGTGAGCGTCTGCTGCAACTGTGTGCGGAGCACCAGTTGTTTGTTAGTAGCACTGCTTTTAGACACAGTGGGCGCCGAAGTGCCACTTGGCATCCTCCTGTAGCTGGCCAGCGGTGGACCCAAATTGACCACATAGCCATAAGTTACAGGTGGCGCGGTTCCATTCTGGATTGCCGCTCATACTGGAGTACCTGTGTCGACTCTGATCATGCATTGGTACGCTGTCGTTTCTCCATGAACTTTACCGGGAGGCGCACCAAGCTTCACCTACGATTGGCAACGGAGAAATTGTCTCAGTCCTCGGTCAGGCAAGCCTATTAAAAGGCACCGCGTATCGAACTTTCGCTGTCTTTTCCTAATGACAATGAGCTTCAGTGGAATAAGATCTCGGCCGCCATGCACGACGCAGGAGCATCTGCTTGTGGCACCATCAATCGTCACCGCACCAGTCACTGGATATCCGAGAGATCGGTGAACATGTTGGAATCTAGAAGACACCTCCCGGTTGGTTCTGAACACAATGTAACCAGACGGGCTATTAGGCGTGGACTAAAGCGGAGCCTGCATGCTGACAAGGAAACCTGTTGGACCAATAGGGCTCAAGAAATCGAGGAGGCAGGAGCAGTAGGCAATTACCGCAAGCTCTTCCAGCTTATCCGCACCACTGATCCCAGGAAACCAGGCGTCAGTGAGACAGTAAGAGACAGCGCGGGTGCGCTGATTCACAATAAGGAGCGCCGTATGGCTCGTTGGGCAGAACACTTTCAAGATCAGTTCAGCTGGCCCCCTGCTCCCGGACCTCTTCCATCTCAAGTGATGCAGGACGAGCCATGGACGGTTAGTGTAGAGCCTCCGTCGGAGGCTGAGTTCCGAAACGTGATCACCGCCCTTAATCGTTTTCGTGCCGCTGGCCCGGATTCCCTCCCATCTGCATTATTGAAGGATGGAGGTGAGGTCCTTTGCAAAGCACCTACCTCCTTGTTCGAACGTATCTGGAAGGAAGAGAGGGTCCCGGCTAATTGGAGCGAATCGATTATAGTGGCAATATACAAGAAGGGCAGTCGCACAGACTGCTCTAACCACAGGGGTATTAGCCTAACGCCAGTTGTGACAAAATTACTGGCCTCGATTCTCGTTCCTCGCCTCACTGCGGAACAGGAATCTCGGATTAGGGAAGAGCAGGCCGGTTTCCTCCCAGCGCGTGGCTGTATAGATCATATATTCACTTTGCGGCAGGTGCTAGAGCAGCGCCACGCGCACCGCAGACTGACAATAGCTGTGTTCCTCGATTTCGAGAGTGCGTTTGAATCAATCGATTGATCGATTCTGTTCGCAATACTTGCGCGGAAAGGTGTTCCCACGAAATATGTGAACATCCTTCGTGCTCTATACTCGAACACTAGAGGCCGCGTCAGGGTCTACGGTGTCCTGTCGGATAGCTTTCCGACCACAAGTGGTGTTCGTCAGGGTTGTCCGATCTCCCCATTTCTGTTCAATTTCGTCGTGGATTCTATCATGGAGTGTTCCCTTGCGGAATCTCACGACGTAGGCGTTGAAGTGCTGCATGGTGAAAGGTTAGTTGATCTAGATTATGCGGACGATATCGTCTTGCTCTTCGACGATGCTGAGGCGGCAAACTCAACCCTGAGTATCCTGTCCAGAGTGATCCCATTATTTGGTATGCACTTCGCACCTTCAAAGTGCAAAGTGTTGCTTCAGGACCACTAGCCACTTGATGACCCCTTGACGCTTGCTAACGAGGAACTCGAGGTGGTTGATCATTTCACTTAGCTTGGCAGCTGCATCAGCAATGATGGGCGCATAGAAACTGACGTGAGCTCACGCATTGCAAAGGCCAGAGCTACCTTCTTGAACCTGCGTCATCTTTGGCGACAGAAGGGAGTTTCCCTTCGTCTGAAAGGCCGTGTATACAAGGCCACAGTGAGGGCCGTTCTGCTCTTTGGTAGTGAGATTTGGCCGCTTCGGTCTGAAGATCTAAAGCGCCTTCAAGTCTTTGATCATCGTTGTTTGCGCAGCATTGCTGGAGTCGGATGGCGCCAGCGTGTCCGCAACGATGATGTGCATAGGCGAGTACTAGGAAGTGATAATCATGCTAGCTCCCTAGAACAACAGATAGCATTGAATAAGTTGCGTTGGCTCGGGCACTTGCTACTCATGCCTGGTCACCGCTTACCTAGGAGAGCCTTGTTTAGTCTGCCAGATGTAGGAGGGCGCAAGGCTCGCGGTGGACAGAAGTTGACTTGGCAGCGGGAAATGAACGCACTGACGACCAAACTGGGTGCCGTTGGTCCGTCTTATCTTCCGGGCTGGAGTCCATTTGACTCGCCTTGTGGTTGGCTCGAGACTTTACAGGACATGGCTCGCAGTAGACACCAGTGGCGCGTCTGCTGCCGTCTCCTAATCGGATTGCCTGTTTAAAGTGTGTTTGGTGTTGAGTTATCTGCTGAGTAATGGCTGATTATGACGCGTGGCAGTGAAAGCCGCAAGGAAGCTGTCTCGCCGATGCCGCCTTATCTTTGCACGATAGCCAGCTGTTTGTGACGGTATGTTGTTAACACAAGGCGTAGGCGCCTTGACCCTGAATGTTTGCTTAGGGCATTAAGGTTTTCAGGTAAGTCCCTCTTCTCTCCCTCTTCTTATTCTTTAGTTCATAGGTCCTCTTGGTTGTATGGCAGCGAAACATCAGTTCGAATGGCTGATGTACTGCTGTTGATGATGATGATGATGACTATGATGGAGCGGCTCCAGTCGGTTGGGACAGTTTCCTACTTCCACACTTTCACTAGTAACTCGTATAGATCATTCACAAGAGCAGATCCCTCGAATTTGACGAGGGCTGGAGAAAGATCATCTGGTCCCGCGGCTTTATTTAGCTTCAACAGTGCGATCTCACGTTTGACTTCTGGGCGAGAGGGTGGATCCAAAGGAACAGCCCAGAGAGCTGGGCGATTAGTGGCCGACGAAAAAATCCAACAATTCCGACCGACTTAATTGCCTTTCAAAGTGCTCAGCGCAACGCTCCAAGCGTTTTGACAAGTTGTGCATAGGCTCTCCACTCTCGTCACGTGTGGTTTCACTAACACCAGGTCTCCTGCTGCCCGTTTCCCGTATCAGACGGAATAACTTACGATGGTTACCAAGGACAGCGGCCATTTCCATTTCTGATGCACGGGGAGACCACTAGGATTAATGGTCTCTCTGCAGACTAGCAAGGAACAATGGAACAATGGATTTATGCGGGTATAAAAGCTAAAGCTTGACGAATCCCGTGGGGTGATCACTGGGAAGATCATAGAAGTGTGAAAAATTCAATGGAAACCAATTCAGTAAAATCGTTTAACAACGAGTCACTACAAGCTTGTGGACTCGCCGAGTTTGAAGTGTCAAAATAATAATCCACTATAACTCCGGAGAGGATCATGAGGTATGGAGTATTTGGTTAAAAGAGTCACCGCCCCTTGAAATTCGCAAGGGGCAAAGTGTTTAAGTTTGCAGCTTCAAAATATACATATAAATCCACTGTTGAAATTTGCGTGGGGGGAACTTATTTTTAAAGTATGGATTTTGGATCTCTCAAAATTAGACTGTACTATGGGAGATAGTGCAATGAAGTGAGTGCACCATCAACTCGATTTTTGAACTCGATCAGGTTGGGTGCACTGACTACAGATTCTGGGAGAGCATTCCAGGCTTGGCAAACACGCACGGAAAAGAAATTCCGTGCTGTACTGCACTGCCAGCTTCAGATGATGGCCTCTCAGATTGTTGTTGTTACTGAGCTCCAGCAGATGGCGGCAGGGATGATTGGGGTCTGTCAAAATCTGATAAGCCAAAATCAAATCTCCCCGTAGTCGTCGCTATTGACCACTAAATATCCCGAGCAATCTCAGTCTGTCTTCGTAGCGTAACTGGCCTCAACCTTTCACGTTCTTCGTTGCGCGTCGTTGAGGTTTCTCTAAATCAGAGAGGTCTTTCCTCAGCCACGGCTGCCAGACTTGTGTTGCATACTCCACGTGTTGTCGTATGTATGCACTTAGAAGTTGGTGAAAAACGGATGCATCGAAGCGTCCAAATGTGCGCCGGAGAAGGCCCAAATTTCGAATGCTCGCGTTCGATGCTTTCTTTGCCTGGGCTGAACAACCAAGGTCGGATTGAATCAAGGCTCCTAAATCCTTTTCCTCAGCAGTTGTGTGAAGCACATGGTCACCCAGTTTATAGAAAAATGTTGCTTCGTGACGTAAGTGTAATACTCTGCACTTATCTGTGTTGAGTAGGAGTTGGTTCTGAACTGACCACGCATACACCTTATCCAAATCCTCTTGAAGTATTGCGGAATCATCTGGTGTATTGATCGCTCTCCAGACCTTGATGTCGTTGGCATAGAGTAGGCAGTTGGAAAGAATGAGGGGCACTATCTCGTCAATATACATCAAAAACAATCGTGGCCCCAGTATCGATCCTTGTGGTACACCACATTCGACTTGGATTGGATGGGACAGGGACCCACGCACTTTTACCTCTAAGCTCCGGTGGAGAAGAAAGCTTGTGATCCATCCAAGGAGCGGATCACCAATGCCGAAGCTCTGAAGTTTGCAGATCAGGATTCCATGGTCTAGTCGATCGAAGGCCTTTGAGAAATCTAGGTAGACCACGTCCACTCCTGCACCGCTGTCAATTAATTTGGTCCAACTCGATCTTGCTAGCAGCAGATTTGTGGTGCACGATCGATTCCGTCGAAAACCATGCTGTTCATGTGCAAGGAAGGCAGACTCTTCTAGATAGGCTGTTAATACGTCAGCAACAATAGCTTCCATAACCTTTGACAGGACCGGGAGAAGGGTTACAGGACGGTAGTTGGCTGGATCAGAACGGCTACCGCCCTTGTGAATTGGGGTTATGATCCCACATTTATCCGGAGCTCTTTGCGAGTTTCATTGTCTTCGCTTCCAGCCGGAATATGCTGGCGAGCATCGATATGTTCCAAAGACTGCGAAGAGACCCAATGTCCATGTTGGCGATTAGACTTACGATATGAGGATATACCTGCTGCTAGTAAGGACTGGTGAATATGAGACCAGTGAGCTTCAACTGCATCCAGTGATTGCTTACTCAACTCGCATGACAGCGTACTTTGCTAGGTATTCAGAACAGCTGGTTTCACCAGTTGACTGGTGTCAATGCGCTCACTACGTCGTCTTGGGTGTCCGCCAAAACACATCCGCACGTTAGCACGTACAAGTGCATGGTCGGTGTCACCATCTGTGCCCCAAATCGAGCGACAGTTCTGGACGCATTCTCACCATCGGTAACTTGTCACAATGTGATCGATTTGCGTCCACAGCTGGTTAAAAGCTAGTGGGCGCCAAGTCACCGTCCGGCGGGTGCTGTGTCGGGAAATAGTGCTCGCAAGGAATAAGCGAGCATTTTCACACAACTAAAGTAACGGCTCACCATTATTATTACGGCAGCCTACATCAAGTTGGCCGCCTAGATGCAGTTCATCAGTGAATAATTTTCCAACTTGAGCGTTCAGATCCCCTGCCAGCACAACTGTGTCCGTGCTTCTTCTGTGGCGAAGGAGCTCGGTCAGTTGGCGGTAGAAGTCGTCTTTTACTGAATCATCACTAGAGTTTGTGGGTGCATAGGCAGCGATGACGAATAGACACCTGTTAATGCCGCGTAACTTCGAAGCTTTGAACGAGTCGGCCAATCGGACCGCACACAACCGGCTACTGCTTGGAATCCAGTCAGCCAGACCAGTTTCAGCCCGGGAACTCAGGGCAATACCAACACCGGTTTGACCGGTGTTCGAAGCTGCATCGTTCCCGGATAGGCGTAATCAGAAAGTGATGGTGGTGTCAACTGAAGGGGACGCAATGTGAGCACAGAGCTCGAGTTTTGCAGGCGGGTCTCCGATAATCAGCGAATATCGATCGAGAGGATCTCTAATGTTCACGCAAGTGTTGCCTGTTGATCGATCCGTGGTAATGTGCGTAAATTGAGGCATGCCAATCTGAAGCATAATCGAAGGCTCCAAATGGAAGTCTATGAACTGGGATTGACCGCTTGGCTGGACATGGCCTTGTCGACAGGACAGGAATGACGCTCCGCGTTCACATGTGCGTTTAACCCAGAAGGTAAAAGCCTAGCAAAGCAAGATGGGGAGGACCAAGGCATCATCATCCTCATTACACGTTAGCTGGAGGTGGAAAACATCTCAGCTATTGTGCCGCAATACAAAAGGCAAGCAAAGAACAAACAAACAAACAAACAGTGGCACGCCCGCTGAGTCCCCAGTA